CATTTGGAATGTTTCATTAAGTTGTGTTATAGGGTTTTTTTTATTAGTGTATAGAGTTACATCCATCTGCCTGCCTTTGGTTCCAGGTTACTGCCTCTTTAGATATAAGTACAATCCATAGGAGAATGGGAGTTGCTGTCCTTCGGCTGTTTAATGTGGCCATTGGTGCTTGGGAAGCTCAGTGGCCAGCTGGGCCCAGGGTCTGAAGGAAGTCTCTGTCTCCTGCAAGGAGCAAGGTCCAGTGTCCAAACAAGGCAAGAGAGCTGCATAGGTTACCCTCCCACTGCCTGGGTCTTTCCTTAGAGCCAGCCAGGATGGTGTCCTTTTAGAAGGCTCTGGTCTAAAGGCAAGATATTTAGGGACAATTGACCAAGAGAGTCATGGCAGCGGTCATGGGGAGAAATGGGCGCAGCTGATTTCCCATTCCAGGAGTTGAACGAGAGCATGAATTTCTTATTGACATTCTATGTGCCCTCTCCCCAAATGGCTGGTAGGCTTGGGCAACCGTAGGCCTCAGCAGAAATCCGTAAGATAGGAAGAGTCCTTTGTTAGCACAGTGGTTAGACCTCCTTGGGGAACCAGCTGCTTGGGTGCAGGTTGTCTTCGGCTGTCTCTAGGACTTGCACCCACAGGAAGCTTTGCACTCAGGCCCTTGCTGTTTTCTTTTTAACCTCTGAGGAGAGCAGTGAATGGTACCCTAGGGTGATGGCCTGGGATTCTGGTTCACTGGGAGCTGACATAGGAAACAGGAGCCATGGGGCAATGTGTGAAAGGTTTGAAAGGTTTAAATATGGCTTCTTGGTTAGCTAGGGCTGTGCTCTTAATGGTCCCTTCCTGGGTCATTGGCTTTTCACTCTCCACAGTTGAGGGGTGTAGAAGAAGCATTTAAGCAGTGTTGAGGCTGACGTGTTTCCAGTTGAAGGAGTTAAGTATTTGTCTTTGTGTGACTGTAGAACACAAGACTCAGATCTAACTAGCTTTTGGAAATTGAGGAATGTGTTTAAAATCAGGAGTTGTGCGGGGCCGGGTGTACTCCACAGGGTAGACAGGCTTTCCTTCCGTGCTGTTCCAGCTCTCCCCTCATCCTCCCGCAAGCCCAGCCTCTAATGTCAAGGACCTCAGAGAAGAGGGAGCCCCATGGCTAAACCAGAGCCAGAAAGACCTTCTTGGAGAGTGGTTTCTCAGGGGAATGAACTTAGGGTAAGGCTAAGAAGAGAGACTTCTGACAGATGGATTTAAGCCTTTTCTGCCTCCCGTGGCAGCCTTCACCATTGTGACCCTGTAGACCATACTTGGGCATCTCCAGGTTAGCCCCTTCCAAGAGGCTGGTTCACGACAAGACTGGAGAGTGGAGCTGGTGGTCCTGGAGGTGGCCAGGCAATCTTGGTCCCACCAAACTGCCTTATAAATGTGGCCCTTCCCAGACAGGAGGGCAAGGCCGAAGGAAGGAAGGCGGCTCAGTCTCTTTGACAGGGTCTGGCCAAGCTCGTGGGGCAGCACTAGCTTGGTGACTGGAGGAGTGTCGCTCATTGACTTTTACTCCAGTTTAGAAGATCATGGTACAATGCCAAGGAGAGGCCTTTGCGATGTGGGGACCTCTCTAGGTAGAAGGCAAGGGGGCTTCCTTTCCCTTCCAGAGAGTCAGTACATGGGAAAAGGTGGTTTTCCAAGCCAGGGCAGTGGACTGATGGGTAATGGAGGTAGATGAGGTTTTCCTGAGGCTTTGTATGATGCTGAATGTGTCCAGAGGGACAAATTTGCAGAACCTCATATTGGTATATTAAAGAAATAATAAAATAAAAAGCACTTTAGGTTACTTTATCTTTAACCCAATTGCTGCAATTTCTGTTGTGTGTGTATATATATACATATATATACTTTCCACAAAGTTTTATTTTTTGCTCAGAATAAAGTTGAGGTGTGAAAAGAAAAGCACTTACTTCGGTGCAATATATGTGTAGCTTGACAGTCGCTATCCCATGTGGCCCTGGCCCGGCCTGTTTTTCTGCTCCCTCAGCCCTGTGCTGAAGCTGTCCATAGGGAAACACTATCGTGCATCTCAGCAGCTGCTCATCTATGCAAGCCTTCCCTGTGTGTCCCGGGCGCCCCCTCAGGCCCTCCGAGGAACTGCTGCAGCTGTTTCCTTCTGACTGTTGAACCCCCTTTCTGCTACTTCCCCGCCCCCCTGCTCTTTCCCCTCTTCACCGTGACAAAATGACTCCCAGAAGGGACAGGCTGTTCCCAGGTGAAAACCTGGCACCTTCTAGACTTCCGTATTTGTAATCCCATCCGTTGACAGTGATGGCTTCCCCAGTGTCGCTGAAGGATTGAGTTGTAGAGCTGCACCCCTGTTGCTCGTCTACAGCTTTTTTTTTTTTCTTTTAACATCCCCAAATCAGAACTATGTTGAAAGAAAGGAGTGGGCAATACAAACCACTTCTGTGCTGCTCTCTGCACATCCTGTGTTGGTTCAAAGCAGACTGCCGGGCTTCACCAAATCCAGGAATAAAGACGCTAATAACCTCCCTCACGGGCTCCCACCGAATCTTCAATTCCCAGCTGCAGACTAGAGGCATTTTAAATACACTTCAGCCAGAGCAAAGTTTCCACAGATGCAGTTTGCAAGTGGTTCTGCTGCGACATAGATGGGAAACTGTCCATCTCTTATTTGAGGTGGAAGAGGTTCGGCCACAAAGCCAGATGACCCATATTTCTGATTGGTCAATCTGTTTGGCCTGTTTCTGGCATATTCTTGGGGCAAAGATAAAAGGGTCTCATCTCTTATGCCCCTGCTTGTGGGGAGGACGATCTTTAGCCTGGGCCTTTCTCACTGTTACTCCTGGTGGCAAGAGGGCGTCTCAGTCTGCACTAAAAAGGCAAGTTATTAGATCTGTCAAGGTATATTATAGTTCAAGCTTTTTCTAGAAGTGGGATTTAAAAACCATGCACTGCTCCCTTGGTGGTGGCCTACTGGGCCAAAAATAAGTGATAATGTCATGTCACTTTCTCAACTCAATGCAGTTTCTAATTTTTTTTTACAGGAAATTTTTTCGTAAAACTTTTTTCCACCAAAACCTAGGGTGTTTTTTGCAATATCCTTATTGCCCTCGTGGTGCCAAGTCAGAGGCTCGTCTGTCCTGGCCTCTGTGTTCTCAGGCCTCCCAAGGGCTGTTGGACTCAACAGTCTGCATCTTCTGTCGTGCTTTGGAGAAAATGTCACTGAGGTTGGAGTTCCAGGCAACTGTTCCCTTTTCTTGTGAACTCACCCCTAGTTCCAGTTTGGGAGGGTAGCTGGACACAGGCTTTTCTGGCTATCTGGCTCAGACCAAGCCAGAAAAGGCCACAAATTCTCTTTTCTAACACACACTAATCATTGGCCAGTGGTCTTGGTGACAAGTTTTTAAGTCCCAAATACTTTTATTTGGATTATGTAAAAGTATCAAATTTATTTTAAATGTAAAACATGGAACAACGGACTTCCACTGAGCGATATGAAAACGTTACAGGTTCAGTACTTCCAAAGGAAGAAACTTCCAAACCCAAAAAAGAATAAATACGAATTTGTATTTTTGAAGAATGTGAAATAATGGTGTTTGCTTAATTGCTCATTTTGTATAAACTTAATATTGTACTTTAAAATATCTGCTATGAAGTGAAAATTTAACTTTTTGGAATTGAAAAAGCAATATTAAATACTAATGAAATCTTAATTAAATGCTTATTTAAATCTGGTAGTACCTGTGCATTACTTCCCACCCTTGTTCCTGGTTGACATTCTCTCCCGACTCCCTACTCCCCAACCATCAAGTCTTGGAGGGGGGACAGAAAGAAAAGGTCCGTCACCAGTTGTCTACAGGTTTCCTTTTAATCAAGACTCTGCTGAAGTGTTTTGTGGGGCTGAGAGCCCCCAAAGCATGAAATGAACAAGTAATACCACCTGGAACCCCCAAAGCAGGCCAGACCACTCTGGCCAGCACTGCTGGCCTGCCCGAATCCGAGTACTCAAGACTGGGTATTCGTTGGCTACATTTCCAAACACAGTACTGCCTTCAGCCAGGACGACGTGGGAGTGAACCCAGCTGCTTGCAAAGTTGCCATCCCAGGCTGAGGGCCAAGTACCAGCAACTGCCAGTGGAGACTGGCCCCTTTAGTGAGGGGAGTTGGTCAGAGTCCAGCCACCGGCCCTGGAAGGGTACAGAAGTCAGGGTGCCCGGCTAGGAAATGGTCAAGGCTCCGCAGCTCCATCGCCAGCATCCTTTGGAAGGCCACCTCTGGCGGATACAGCGGGCTGGGGCGGCGCTCCGGACTTGGCTGAACCGTTCTAGTTGGAACAGAAGGGGGTGGTGGGGGGTGGTGGATGAGTCTGGGAGGAAAGGCCTTACGTTAGGCCCTGCAAGGATAAGTCCACTTGGCATCTCGACAATACCGTACTTTTTCAAAACCTCCCCCAGATCAAAGGAGGTTAAGTGTAGAGCGGTGGGGATGCTCTTCCACCCCCCTTCTGGGGCGGGGGCGAGTTTGGCCAGTGTAGTCAGTGGGCACACCCCACCTCCCCAGGCCCAGCCCGGAGTGGGCACTGACCCCGCCACCAGCCGGCTCCGGACGCCGGCGGCCAAGCTGCCGCAGCATCTCCTCGCAGGCGGCGATGGTGTCCAGGAGCTGCCGCTGCCGCTGCTCCACGGCGTCCAGCAGCTGCTGGGCGCGCTCATCCCGGGGCGGCTGCGGGGGTGGCCTCCCGCCGAGCCCCAGCCCCGCCTTCCCACGGTCCACGCCGGCAGCCTCCCTGCCCGGGAGAGAGACGGCGTCAGGGCCGGCGCTGGGCGACGCGAGGTCGCGGCCCCGGCCCCCCGCCCCGCGGGCCCGCTCTCACCCCCGTGACCAGCCTGCGCCCGGGCCCCACTCCATCGCCGCCCGACCACCACCCCCCCTGCCGGCCGCCCCCGCCCCGGCGCCGCGCGAGGGCTCCGCTAAGCTGCGCCCCGCCCCGTCCCCACCGGTCTCCTTCAAGTCGCCTGGGGGTCGCGGTCCCTTTAAGCTGCCCGGCGCGGAGGCGGGGCCGAGCCTCGGGGGCCGGAAGTTGGTCGCGTGCGTCACTTCCTCCCGGAAGCAGGTCTGGGCGGATGTCTACTGCGCGTCCGTGTGCGGGGCTGAGGGCCGCGGTGGCGGCCGGCATGGGGCTGAGCGACGGGCCAGCGGGCTCTGGCCGCAGCTGCCTCCTTCTACGCCCGCCCGCGCCCGCTCCGGCAGTTCCGGGGGCCCGGCTGTTGCGACTTCCGGGGAGCGGGGCCGTGCAGGCCGCGAGCCCCGAGCGCTCCGGTTGGACCGAGGCGCTGCGGGCCGCCGTGGCCGAGCTGCGCGCCGGCGCCGTGGTGGCGGTCCCAACTGACACGCTGTATGGTCTGGCCTGCTCGGCGAGCTGCTCGGCGGCCCTGGGCTGCGTGTATCGCCTCAAGGGCCGCAGCGAGGCCAAGCCGCTGGCCGTGTGCCTGGGCCGCGTGGCCGACGTCTACAGGTGAGGCCGCCCCGACCCGGCCCCGCTGGGGGCGGCACCGCGGGAGGGGTTTCCGGTGACAGGCTTGGGAGACTGAGGCGCTGAGTGCGGGAGGGGCTTGTCCTGGCTCACCGAGGAATCCGGAACTGGAAATATGTTGGGAGCGCTTAACGCGTGCCAGGCTCCATCCACAATTGACAGTGCACTCATTGGTCGCAGCGCTGAGTTAGGCCAGCGTGGCACTGTTCTCTGGGTGCCGTGGTGATGTACGGCGGGGAAGCCCGCGGGAAGAAGGAATCACAGTGACGCTTTAGAAAGAGTGTCTTCCAGATGATAAAACAGTTTGAGGTTATTGTCCCCAAGACAGGCGTGTGGACTTTAAGCCCGGGGTCCTTCTCTGGAGCCCTGCCTTGTGCCAGAGCTCTGAGGAAGAGGAAGTTGGGAATACACCCGAAGGACCCCTTTCATGCATCTGCCTTCAGTCCAGGAAAGCTCCACCAGGGTGATATGGCTTGGATTTGTGCTCTTTTGCCCCCAGGTACTGCCAGGTGAGCGTACCCAAGGAGCTCCTGGAGGACCTGTTGCCAGGACCAGTGACCCTGGTGATGCAGCGCTCCGAGGAGCTCAACAAAGACCTGAACCCCTTTACTCCTGTGAGTCACTCGGTTTTCCCTGTGATCTGAATCAGACTTCTTCAGCCCTTGAAACCTTCCTCCCATTCATTCCCTTTTCCTCTTGCTTCACAGCTTGTTGGCATCCGGATTCCTAACCATGCCTTCATGCAGGACTTGGCCCAAATGTTTGGGGGACCACTTGCACTCACCAGTGCCAATCTCAGCTCCCAGGCCAGCTCGCTGAGTGTTGAGGTGAGAATTGGCCCCAGCAGGCTAAACTACTGTTTCCTCAGAACCAATAAGGCTGACACTGCCCTGGGATTGCCTGGCAGAAATTTGGGCCTTTGGTTCAGCAGTGAGAAAGGTACCTATTTGGCATGGTTTAGAGGAGGGCATCCAAGTGAAGGAGTCTTGAAGGGGGCATGTGGGGCATACTTGTAATGCCAGCACTAGAAGGCCAAGACAAGAAAATCTGGGGTTTGTTTGTGTGTTTGTTTTTTCAAGATGGGTTTCTCTGTGTAGCCCTGGCTGTTCTGGAACTCACTCTGTAGACCAGGTTGACCTCAAACTCATAGAAATCTGCCTGCCTCTGGCTTTTTTTTTTTTTTCTTTTCTTTTTTTGAACGAATTAATTTTTTTTATTTTATGTGCATTGGTGTTTTACCTGCATGAATGTCTATATGAGGGTGTCAGATTAAAACTGGAGTTACAGACAGTTGTGAGCTGCCTTGTGGGTGCTGGGAATTGAATCTTGGTCCTCTGGAACAGCAACCAGTTTTCTTAACTGCTGAGCCATCTCTCCAGCCCCCAGAATCTTTTTTTTTAAGTGTTGGAATGTTTTATCTTGAGAGGCCAGGGAAGAAGAACAGGTGTATTCTTTGTATATATAATAATAGATTAAAGAGATGCTGGGGGTGGTGGCTCACACCTTTAATCCCAGCACTTCGGGGGCAGAGGCAGGCCAATCTCTGTGAGTTCGAGGCCAGCCTGGTCTACAGAGCGAATTCTAGAACTTCATAGAATGACCCTGTCTTTAAAAAAAAAAAGAAAGAAAGAAAGGGTTCTAGGAAGTAAAGACAGCCTTGTGAGGGGAGCAGCTGTAGCTGTCAGAGACCTGGTAACAGTGCTGAGAACTTGGGACACTAAAACATTAGTTCACTTCTGTGTCACGAAGCCATTAAGTGACAGTCCCAACTTTTTGCCAGTTCTTTTGTATGTGTGTGTGGCAGGGACTGGTGGGGGAGGGGGGTGGCGTTTGACACAGGGTCTTAACTATGTAGCCCTGGAACTCCTTATATAGAACAGACTGGCTTTGAACTGCTTCTGCTTCCTGAGTGCTGGAATTAAAGGCTTAGGGCAGGGTCTTAATACTGTAACTCAAGGTGCTCTTGAACTTAGGATCTTCAGGCCTCCCCATTTTTGGATCTTTAACAACGCACCTGGTCTCACCCAATTTTTGACTCCTGACCTTATTGTCTTATCTCTGCTTGCCAGATAGGCCTGAGATAAGATCATCATAATCCTGTCTTGGCTATGTGGTTTAGAACAAATGAGCATAAAGAAACTTTACTGTCTGTTGTTATATTTAAATTAGGTACAGTTAAGTGAGGGGGCCTTGGAAATGTAGTGCCTGCTTTATTTGCTCTTGGTAGCTGTACCAGTATAGAGCAGGGTGGGGGTGTTATCAGAGGAGAGGGGTAAGTTCTTACCTTGTCAACAACCCTGGGCCAGCACAGTCATTGTTTTATTGGTAGCCAGTATTTATGATTCCCCTGTCACCAAGACCCTGGCTTAAATGCACTGGAGACTCTTCACTGAGGACAGAAAGACTAGCTCATTTAACAGTACAGCCCAAGGACTGAGTACTGCGGGTGGTGTGTTTGCAAAGTCCACCCTCTTGACTTCCATTGAGGTCTAGGATCTGGCTGCTAGAGCTGGAAAGACTCTTAGTAGTCACCTCGGCCGGCCCTCTCCCTTTAGGAATTTAGATGAAGCAATTTCATGCATCACATAGATATGATAGAAAGTCCAGGGTTAAAGCCCATCTCTGGGCTCATACCCAGTGTGGCACTTATTGGACCTAGGCCTCCATAGCCCCTGTAGTATTGGGATTTCCTTTTGGTACATTAAGGTTTTCTTTATGACATATGTAACTTGGAGTGCATATCTAAGCGGGCTGCAGACTGGGTGTTAACTGTTTCCTTTGACACAGCTGAGCATAAGAGAAGAGGTTTCTCTTCTGCTTAGAGGAAATGCCTGGATTTAAATGTGAGCCATGTGTGCAGGGTGACAATATGGCCATGCCCTTCTTTTACCTCTTTTCAGGAGTTCCAAGACCTCTGGCCTCACTTGTCCTTGGTCATTGATGGCGGGCCAATTGGGGATAGTCAGAGCCCCGAGTGCCGCCTCGGCTCTACTGTAGTTGACTTATCTGAGCCTGGAAAGTTTGCCATTATTCGCCCGGGCTGGTAAGGCTCTTTCCTGTGCCACTGGGATATGTGAAGGAGGTTGGAGAAACAGAAGCTTTGACGGGCAGAGTTCATTCCCATCTTGTCTTGGTTGGGGGCACTGAGGGCCACCACAGGGAGGTGGGCAGTGGGCTGGGACTAAATTTGCTGAGATGGCTCATTTTTTTAGGATTAAAGTTTGATGAACAGAGCATGGGATAGTGGTCAGACTATAACTGCCTTCTATGTCTTCCTCAGTGCCCTAGAAACCACTACAGCCATCCTCCAACAGAAATATGGGCTGCTTCCTTCGCAGGGGTCCTGTTCATGAAACTTGGGGGGACCCAAGGAACATGCTGGATACTATGTGTCTGCTAACTGGTTGGCAAGGCCTCATTGGCAGAGGCTCCTGGAGCTCCACCTGTAGCCTGGCTTTTTAGGGAACATCTCTCTGAACACTGTAGGCCAGAAGCTGCAGGTTGAGCCTTGTAGAATCATAAATCAACCAAAAATTGAACAAAGGTAAGAACATTCTTAGAGCGGCCTTATTATTTTAAGGCCTCACTTTTTAAGTTGACAGTAAATTGAGTGCAGAACTAGACTGTGCAGTCTAGAAGTCTCAGGACCAATGCAGGAAAGTCAAGGAGCCCAAGACAGCTTTCCTGGGTACCAGAGAGAGGTCATTTTAGGGAAATTATCCTAGGGGGTCCCAAGTGAAATAATACTGGAAAAGAAAATCTTGACTGTTCTCGGCCAGTGACTTTCTTATTTATTGATAAAATAAATCATATAGTTCTGTGTTCTATTTAGCTTCACTGTTTCCTCAGAAGCCTTTTCTCTTTGTTCATAGGTGTGCCAAGTAGCCTACATAATTATTTTTGAGTATTTAAGCTGTATTTTTCTTTATTATTAAAAAATGCTGCTGCAAACAGTTGTCAATGGTTTATTTTTCTTTTGAACTATTTCCTTAGGGTAGGATTTCTAGGTCAAGGTGTATATGTGCATTATGGCTGTTGATGTAGATTAGCCTTCAGAAGATGACTTCAGTCAAGTCTCATTGAGGATGCCTGTTCCTTCCTGTTGGCCTTGCTGCATCCAAGCTCTATGTGCAGGAGATGAAATTAGCGCTGCTTAGATCCAGCCCTCCCAACTACACGACAGGCTGGGTGACCAGCCCTGCTCATCTGTCAGGCGGGGTTTAGTGTCGGTCAGTGGGCTGGTTGTCCTTGAAATGACTTGTATTCTACCTCATGCTCCCCCACTTGCTACCATTTTCCAGAGTCGTAGCTCAGCCTTAGCCTGTAAACCAGTAGTGGTTTTGGTGAACATTTTCAAGTGTGTTTTGAGAATCTTGCTGAAAAATGTTCCATTGGTCTTACTTTAACAAGGATCCTTGCAGTTAGCATTAGTTTGTTTATAAATAAGTACTGGCTTGTTAGCTTCCCTCTAGAAATCTTACATAAACTCGTCATTTAAGCAAACCCATCTCCATTGTGCTAAAAGTAGCCAGCCCAGCCATACACTAATTTGTCACAGACTGACCTAGAGGTCAGCAGTTATGAGGGCCACAAGAGGAATGTGTACTGGCAAATACTTCATATTTAATACAAATCACAGTAGCCCTGAAAGTGGCCCTAGTGGGTGGCCTCCCCAGCCTAGACAGCTGAAGGGAGAGTGACCTGGTCCTCTCTGCAGCTCTGTGTTCATCTGGGAAAGGCTCTGGAACACAGAGGTATTTTCTTGGAGGAGAAATAGTTGAACATCCAGGCCTGGGTGTAGCTGTAAAGAAGGGCAAAACAGCCAAGGTGCTAGCTACATGGCTACACCAAAAGCAAGATCCTGTAAGCTTCAGGAAGGGAACCTGGATCAAATTCCCCAGAACCTGACAGTAAGGTGCTTAGTAATGAGTGTGGACGCGCAGTGTTTCCTGATAATGGGCACAGGAATCTCCTGGAAGGACCTAAACAAAGTCCCCTCTTAGAAGTGCCGAATACGGTTCCCTGTATTCAGCAAGAAGACGTGGGAAGGTGCCTGAGGATTTGTAGGCTGTCCAAAGGAAGTAAGGTGCATGCTAGCTCAGAACCCTGAGACCCTTTTAAGCACAGTGGCTGGCAACTCCACTATATAGCCTGCCGCAGCTGCAAGCTAAAGGATGTGGAGCTGCCCTGAGCCGTGTGCAGCCTCCTGCCAGCTTCCTCCATCAAGCCTTGCTTCATCACCCCAGCACCACCAGTCCAAGGGCCAGGCTCTGTTCTACATGAGTTAGTTGGCCCACCCACAAGCACCCAGTTGCTACTTGGGACTAGTGTGTGCCTATATCCTCAGCTGAACCAGCTTGGTGACCTAATGAGGTTTGAGTACTGCCCCTCACATCAGCCATTGCTCCTTTTCCTTGACGAAGTGCTCTGCCCAGCGGCGGGTCAGCTCTAAATACAGGCCGGGCTGGTGAGGCAGGTAGTCCAAATAGAGGCGAGTTGGCGTCTTCTTGGGAACAGCCTTCTCGATCTGCGTGCCCTCGTGCCACTCATTGAAAGAGGTGATGGAGACAATCTCAGGCCTCACAGTCAGGGCCGCCTGCAGGGCTGTCTCATAGTACTTGCCGTTGACCCTGTTCCGAGTATTGTGGTTGTTCCAGGGCCGGATGCTGGTGTCAATGTACCCAGGCCCCACACTAGGAATGAACATCAGGTTGTTGGTATCACAGAAGTTCTTCACAGCTTTCCAGTTCTGATGGGAGGAGCCAAAGGAGAAACCATTGGAGGCAAAGTAGGTGTACATTCCATCGAATCCTGCTGCAAGGATATCATGGGTGTGGCCCTCCTCCACCAGCAGCGCTATAAAGACCCCGTCATAGGGAGTGTTCCGGATCGAGTGGGGCCCGTTTTGTGTCAGGAGGTGGGCCCAGGCCTCAGGGGATGTCAGATATGAGTCGTAGACATAAAAGAGTGGGAGGCTCTTGCCCATGCTGTTCTTATAACGGTAAAATGCACCATGGGAGCCATACCTGAGGAGCAGGAGGGAGAGGCTTGAGTTGGTTGTGAGAAGCCAGCACAGTCGAAAGAGCAGCCACAGGGGAGATCTTTTTTCTGTGCTCACAGTCTAGGATTCAGCAGGTTACTTGTTGAACTTCAACAAGTATTAACCTGCCTCCCTTCCCAGCCCTCCTGACCTGTCATCCATCCCTAAGCCTTTTCTCCAAGCCAGGCCACCACATCTTCGTCTGGATTGGGGCAGCAATCTCCAAATTGGTGCCTTACCAATCTGACCACTGATCTGACCACTCCTTACTGTGACCTGTAAGGATGCCCCTGTGTGATCTGAACTTAACTAGTTTTTTCATTCCTGCTACTACTCACCAGACTCCACTCCCTAACTGGCCTTTCTACCAACTTTTATGTGACCTTGCCCCATCTTAGGACATTCCATCTGCCAATTCTCTCTCTGCCTAGAATCTTCCCCTTTTCTCCAGATCTTTGCAGAACTAACTTACTATTATTATTTTATTATTTGAGACAGGGTCTCACTATGTGGCCTGGAGCTCAGTAAGTAAACCCTGTTAGCCTTGAGCTGACTTATTTTAAAAAACAGTGTGGAGGCAGGGATGCATGCTGGATCTGGGGGGAGTTAGGGAGAAGAGTAGGAAGAGTGAATATGATATTTAAAACTACTTTTAAATATACTTTTTAAAAGAACTATTGTGCTGGAGAGTTCTGTTCCCAGCACTTTCATTAGGCAACTTGTAACATGCCTGTAACTCCAGCTTCCTCTTGTGGCCTCTGGGTACATACACACACACACATACATATAAATAAAAGAATAAAATCTTTAAAAACCTTGGGGATTGAACCCAGGGCCTCAGGCATGATGGTGCATGCATGTGGCCTCAGCACTTGAGATGCTAAGGACAGAAGACGGAGTTCGGGGCAGCTTCATAAGAGCTCAAGGCCAGCCTAAACTATATGAGACCCTGCCTCAAAAACAACAGAATTCTAGGCTCACTCATTCCTTTTAGCCTAACAACAATATTTATATCTCAGTTCTGGGAACTGTGGAGTCCACAATCAAAGTGCCTAACAAGTTTGATTCTTGGTGAGAGTTCTCTCAGCTGACAGGTGGCCACTAACTCGCTTTATGCACACATGGAAAGCAAGAATCAGCCTCCAGGTGTCAGCGCACAGGGCAAGTCCTCTCAGAGAAGCACATATCACCACCATTCTAAAGTAATTCCTTGAGAGCTGGGACATAAGATACCTGCTCATGCTCAAGCTTCGCATATAAAGGACCCTGGGTTTGATCTCCAGAACCATAAAAAGAGGAAAAACAAAAACTTCTTGGGCACATCCTTAACACAAAACTTCACTTTGCTTTTTATTGTTTTTTTTCATGCTACAGATTGCTGTGGTTTCTCACTTCTTGGTTGGGGAGCTCTGCTGCACCACCAACCATTAGACTATAAGTATGAAGTAGAATAGCTGTATGAAGATAATAACTGTATGCGTCGGCACTGAACAGTTTTTCAGTGACTACAAGTATGTTTGAAGCACCTGCGTACTATAAAACAAGACTCAGGGCCCCAGAACTGGACCTGAAACTCAGTTCCCAGGACCCTCAACAGCTGCTGGGAACACACACATTCCACCCTGGATTGCCTGACCTGGCCCTCCGTCCCTCCTATCCCTACTTCCATCTAGAGTCCCATCTTACGTGTCAATGATGTACTTGATGTTGTCATGGACAGTGATGTCATCCCGGCCCTTGTAAGGTTGGATATGGAAGGCCACCTGTCACAAACAGAGGAGTTGCAGATCAGGTGACTATTCAGGAGTAGCACAACACATACAGCTTAATGCCACCAGCCTTGGCTTGTAGAGAGGGGCTGAGTTTGAGAAAGCCTGGCAAGGGTGGGCACAATGAAGGCCGCCACTGCCCTTCAGGTCAAAGTGAAGGGTGAAGGTTTGTCTGTGTCCCACAACAGGGCATCCAAGAATCATTCTGGGGTCACTGCAGGATGGTGCTCAGTTTTCTACCTCGGTCAGCTCCAATCAGGAACACCATGAGTCATGTGCCTACTCTCTGCCAATGGAAAATGTGCCACCATCTGTTAAACCTGCCAGTGGTGACCTCGGGAAGGCAAGGGGGATTCTCTGTCATTTTTCTTCTTTTACCACGGATGTAGGAACTGACTTCCTCTATTGAGGTGTTTGAGAAGAATGGCCACACACACAGCCTTCCACTCCGAAGGGGAACCTGCTTGCGGAGGCCTAGCATCGGCCTCCACTATGGAGTGGAGTCTAGAATTCCGTCTGCAGGTTCATTTGGTTCTTGCCTGCCCAGGATCCAGGATCAAGTGTCTCCAACCTAACCTATATTACTTAGGAAATGGAGAGATGATGGCTCATGAGTTAAGAGCACTGGCTACTCTTCCAAAGGACCTGGGTTCCCGGCACCCATGTCAAGTGACTCACAACTAACTCCATGGGGATCCAATGCCCCTGGCCTCCGCAGGCATCTGCACACACCTGTGCATACCCACACACAGATACAAAATTTTAAAAATACAAGTAAATATAAACAAAGATATTAGTAGTCTTCCATTTGTCCCCTAATTAGTTTTCTCAAAATTAAAAATGGTAACAACACAGTGCAGCCTGCTAGACCCTCTCCAACACCACACTTACGTTCCTGTCAGCCTCAGCCACCCAGCACTAACTGGATGGCAGAGAAGGGGCATTCTCCAGAATGAGCGCTTGTGTAGCCTTTTGAACTCACCTGGATGTTGTACTGATGAGCAGTGTCCAGAATGGCAGGGACCAGATCATCTGAGGGCTCCCCGTTATCATCAGCCATGCCAGGTGGGTACCAGGAAAGAACCAAGACTCCTAAACAAGACAGAAGCCCCTTCAGTGGTACACAGTGTGCCCCGCCCCGCCCCCC